CTCTCTTCTTCTTCTCTCTCTCTCTCTCTCTCTCTCTCTCTCTCTCTCTCTCCCGCTAGAAGCGAGCATAACTAGTCACAGTTAATGTGACGGTTTATTCTGCAACAATCACAAAAGGCGCGAGAAAAGGGCTAAAATTAAGGGCACCAGGCGATAAACACCATTTTCACGGATGGAAGAGTGCGCGGATTTATAAATAAAAGAAATATAGGCTAGGCCGCGTTATGAAACCTGGGGCTGTGTGTGTGTATTGAAACAGGCGGATTAACTTCACAACACATAGCGATTTGTGTGAAGTGTGATATCATGTACACACATGCAGATACACGCACGCACGCAGACGCGCGCACGCGCGCACATGCCCATGCACACTTACGCACGCACGCACGCACACACACACACACACACACACACACACACACACACACACANGAGAGAGAGAGAGAGCGAGTCAGAGTGTGAGAGATCGCAGGAGACAAGGAGGTCACTAGAGAATTCGTAGAGCCGGAGGTGAATTGCGCTGCTGCTGCTGCTCGTTAGTGAAGAACAGTTTCCTCAGCAAAATGGCTTCATCTCCCGGAATGAGCTTCATTTAGAAAACTCCGCATCAGCAGCAGAATCCGGCAATCGTCGATGAAGCCCTCAGTGAACATCGGAAGCAGAGTTTGAGGTTATCGACGTTTGTACGAACAAAGAGAGAGCAAGAGAGAGCGAGAGAGAGAGAGAGAGAGAGAGAGAGAGAGAGAGAGAGAGAGAGAGAGAGAGAGAGAGAGAGAGAGAGAGAGAGAGAGAGAGAGAGAGAGAGAGAGAGAGAGAGAGAGAGAGAGAGAGAGAGAGAGAGAGAGAGAGAGNTGAGAGAGTGAGAGAGAGAGAGAGAGAGAGAGAGAGCGCGCGAAAGAGAGAGAGACAGAATGAGAGAGAGAGAGAGAGAGAGAGAGAGCGCGCGAAAGAGAGAGAGACAGAATGAGAGAGAGAGAGAGAGACAGAGAGAGACAGAATGAGAGAGAGAAAGAGAGACAGAGAGAGAAAGACATCGACTATCGCCCTTAGTGACCCACAGAGGGCAGCACATCCACAACCTTCAACAATATAACTAATACAAAAATTTCCCCTTGACAGATTATCGCCTGTGGTCGCCTACAGATGGCAGCACCCGCAGCAGCAGCAGACGCCACGTTGCCGCAGTGAGTCTGGCTGACGCAGGCGCGTCGCTGTGGCGCTTCCCACAGCCAGGCATCATGGCCGACAGCGACCCACATCCGGGCGACGACAGCGCCACCGCCGCCACCGACCCGCCGCTGCTGCTCAAGACCGTCTGCCTCGGAATCATCGTCGGTCTGTCGACGTCAGCCAACGTCGTCGCCATGTTGGTTCTGCTGCGCGCTCGCCGGCTCCGCAGCGCCCCCTACTGCTACCTGCTCAACCTGACTCTCACCGATCTGCTGCGCACGGTGTTCTGCCACGCGTTCGTGCTCGGCGCGCGCGTGCGTGCGTTCTCGCTGCCGCGCGGGGCAACAGCCGATCGCGTCTGCAAGCTGGTGGCCTTCGTCAACGTCCTACTGACCTTCAACTGCGTCTTCACGCTGCTAGTGCTGGCGATAGATCGATACCTAGCGACCGTCTACGCGCGTTTCCACGCGCGCAAGATCCGCGGATTGATCTGCCTAGCGGTGGCGCTGCTGTCGTGGGGGTTGGCTTTCATGATGGCGTTCCCACCAGTGTTCGGGTTGGGCGCGTATCGGTACGCACCGGACGGCGGGCAGTGCACGTTCCAACAACGCGTTTACCGCATGAACGACACGCTCGGATTCACTCTCATCTTCTCGGTCGCCGTCGGCGTCACGTCGGCAGTCTACGCCCGCATCTTCGCGCGCATGCGCGGCCGACGACGCATGCGCCCCGTCGTCCGTCCGCCGGCCGTCAGCGACAGTTGGACTTTTTTCGGAGCGGGAGCCGGGGCGGTAGGGGGCGCCACGTGCGTGCCGACGCGGGCGACGGAGAGACGGCCGGGAGAGGGAGGAGGAGGAAGAGGAGGAGGAGCAGAAGGAGGAGGAGAAGGAGGAGGAGGCGACGGGGCAAGGAGCACGCGGATGTGCGTGTTTCTACACGCTGCCTTCGTCGTACTATGGCTGCCCTACCTCGTCATGGCCTACTGGCACATGCTGAGAGAGAGCGCCACCGTGCCGACGTGGTACCTGGGCGTGGCGACGTGGTGCACCTACCTGTACGTCGTCGTCAACCCGATAGTCTACGTCGCGAGCAGCGCCACCTTCCGGCGCGCGCTGCGACGCACGATCACGTGTTCGCGGCGACGCGAGCGCCCCTACGCGGCGGCGGCGGCGGCGGCGGGAGATACGTCTCAGGATGGGGAGTGTCTCGAGGCGGCCGGGCCGTGTCTCAGAGCTGAGACGGGACTTGTCTCTGAGACTTGAGACGCATCGTGATTGGACCTCACGTGTGCACGCCGCGTGGAAGCGTTGTGCGCAAGTCTGGAGAGTTATGACGTAGGTAGATACACGCGTGCGTGCGTGCGTGCATGCGTGCGTGCGTCAGTGCGTGCGTACGTGTGCCTGCGTGCGTGCATGCGTGCGTACGTGTGCCTGTGTAAACGTGCCTGTGCGTGCGTGTACATGCGTCCGTGCATGTGTGTAAACGTGCCTGTGCGTGCGTGCACGAGCGCGTGTACACGCGGGCGTCAGTAAGCGTGCATTATTGCGCGTGCATGCATGCTAGGGTAATCGACCTGAATAACTGACTTGTAATTCGAGTAACATTCTACACATTTTGCTCAAGTGTAATTCCATCTAGCGAGTCAAGTCTTCGATCTAATGACTCAAGTCTTGGATCGTTAGCTACTGATCATTGACTCATTACACAGAAATACTGTCTCGCCGCAGAATCGGCAGCGCCGGGAGAGAGAGAGAGAGATAGAGAGGGGGAGAGAGAGGAGAGAGAGAGAGAGAGAGAGAGAGAGAGAGAGAGAGAGAGAGAGAGAGAGAGAGAGAGAGAGAGAGAGAGAGAGAGAGAGAGAGAGAGAGAGAGAGAGTAGAGAGAGAGAGAGAGAGAGAGAGAGAGAGAAGAGAGAGAGAGCGCGCGAGAGTGAGGAGAGAGGAAGAGACGAGAGGAGAGAAGAGGAGAGAGGGAGGAAGAGAGAGAGAAAGAGAGAGAAGGAGAGAGAGAGAGAGAGAGAGAGGAGAGAGAGAGAGGAGAGAGAGAGCGAGAGAAGCGGGAGAGAGCAGCGAGAGAGAGCGGAAGAGCGAGAGCGGAAGAGAGAGGCGAGAGCGAGAAATAAAGCGTGAATGAGAGAGGAGAGAGAGGGGGGCAAAGAAGAGAGAGAGAGAAATAAAGCGTGAGGAAGAGAGAGAGAGAGAGAGAGAGAGAGAGAGAGAGAGAGAGCGCGAGAGCGAGAGAACATTAGATTTGCTGCACGAGTGGAACTGTATAGTACCGGCTATACTGTCATGTCTGTGCAATATTACATTAATGTGACATAGACTATGCTATCCCCATAATTAATAGAAAAGGTGTGTGTGCGCGCGCGTGCGTGCGTGCGTGCGTGCGTGCGTGCGTGCGTGTATCTATGGTAATGCGTGCTAGTGTTGATCAATGTTGCATGGCTTCCATCCCCGTATATAAGCTGTACTCGCTAAGCGCAGGCACGGGTTTAAACAGACACCAGATGAATCCGTGGCTGCGGACCAACCGCTGATGCTGCTAAACCAGCACCGGTCTTGCGCACCAGTCTTGGGACTTAAAATGTAAAAATATCCGCGGTTGTCCACCGCCGGACGTTCACACGAAATAGATGGCCTTGTCCTGGGCAGGAAATCCCAACACTTACACTTACATATCGCGCTGAGATGTAAGAACATTGTTTTATGCAGAAAACAAAACAGAAACAGCTTTCCTAGGAAATTGATACATATTTTGATATAAAACACATATTCTTATTCCGTTATGTTGAAAATTGACTCCTTTCTCCTTTGTCTTTGACTGGTGGTACATAGGCCCTACATTAGATGAATCCATAACTCGCTTCACGAACATCTGCATGTGTTCTTATGTAGCTATTTGAAACAAGCGACCTTGTCTGTTCAATCGTATACATTCACCTAGTAAACACGAAGATATCCTGTTACACAGGAAACACGACATTGCACTTAAATCTGTCCTTGGCAGCCAAAACCTACCACCAAGCGTTTACAACTTCTTAGGCCTTAGAAGTCGCTACATAGATCTGTATGAAACACGTCTGTTTCTCGTTATGTCCTTACGGCCAGGAAACGACCTTGGCTTGAATTGTCCTTGGCAGGCAATATATTATACATCGGGATAGAACGTCAATGTTTGCATGTTAGACAAAAATTATTGGCAACCGACGCAACATCGATATAAAATATAAATATTATTTCGTTGGATGTAAAACAACCTTGGTTGTCATTGGTACTCGACAGATACAGTGATATAAAACAGATAAATGTCATTTCTTTGGATGTAAAACAACCTTGATCGCGTCATTGGTGGAACTCGATAGATACAGTGATATAAAACAAATAAATGTCATTTCGTTGGATGTAAAACAACCTTGATCGCGTCATTGGTGGTACTCGATAGATACAGTGATATAAACAAATGTTCTCTCCTTAGTCGTACAATAAGTTAACCTTGATTGTCATTGGAACTCGACAGATAAATCGATATGACAATGAATATAGTCACATGTTTTCGCGTAAGACGTGAAACGACCTTGTTTGTCCTTGGCAATCGATTCATACATTCACATCGAAAATGATCTTGTCTCAGTGTCCTGATGATCTTAACATGTTTTAGTTATAGAAAAACAGTTTTGTCCGCAAGCGAGAAAAAACCCGACCGAGTGATTGGATAATTCGAGCTCCATAGTGTGAATGTTGTTAGTGTATACAGCCAAGTACAGCATCTTAATATTGCTGACACATTGCTCAGTGTTTAGAGCTAGGGATACACGGCTAGGGTAATGAACAGAGATGAATGCACAAAGACGAGGGTAGGTATAACCACAACCTTAACGCTAACTCTAACCTTACTTACCGCATTAAGCAAATGAGAGAGGCGGCACAGCAATGTGAAGCGAAGGCCTGGGCCGTCTCTACGGGACGCCGATCCACTGCCACTAGCCCGTGTGTGGGTTCAACGAGCTTATCACTGATGCTAATGAACTCTAAAGTAAGCAGAGTTATGAATGAAAGACGTGCGATCATATATTATTATAGTTGGTGTTGCCCCAGGCCCGTACTGCATTACATGTTACAGAGGTTATGCTTTACGTGTTAAAGATATTATTGCTGAAAGGGTCGTTGTCGTATAGGGTACTACATATATGTACCCGAGGTAACAATCTGATATGGTTAGGGTTAGGGTTAGGGTTAGGGT